CCACCCCCAAATTCTCAAGTCTTTAAGAAGACATTCAGGAGAAAATACAGATATATACTTATGATTTTATTGTTTTGTTTGGATGCCCAAATTTTGCAAAGAATTAATAAATTATTTTATCTGTTGTACAAAGATAAATGTACATTTTATGTAAATGAACTTAAAACTTGTGCGCCCACAGCACTGAAACAGTGGGAACCTGGTAGGTCTCACACCTGTGAAAGGACTAAGGGACAGAGAGTCTATGGCTTTTCTGAAATCTAATGGAACTTTCTCAGACAAAGAAAAATCTGAGACTTAATAGTCTGCAAAAGCCATTCCAGAGAAGTGGGCTCAAAAGCTATGTCTGAAATATTAAATAGAAGCATATCAGAGATCAGTTCCCAGCTGGGATGAAAAATGGCAGCAAATGGTCATTTGGCCAAAGGGAAAAATTGTTAGGGCTAGATAATCTACCATCAGATTTGTTAAGAGAAGTGTGGTTGCCCAAAACAGGAGTTGGTTATGAAGCTGTATGCCCAGAGCACTGAAACCGTGGGCAGTTAAGCAGTGTGGATAATCCAGAACGATCAAACTCATTCTTTAATCCCTTTTTTTTTTTTTTTTTTTAACTTACTGATATACTCAAACACAGCCACTTGAAAAGCACTAGCTCAGAGAGCTTTGTCAAAGCTGTGGCAACTGCCCCAAGAGTTCTGCAGGAATTTACAGCAAGTAGACATTCAGGGAAAAGGAAAAGGAAATGGGTTTAAAAAATCTGCACAATGCATTTTTCAATTACTGATTTTAAGCATGGACCAAACTCCACAGCTTTTTCTCACTTTAAAAAACCACTAAATCACAAGGCCATCTCACCTGAAGTCAAGAGTTACTCTTCTCAAGGATTATAGAAACAGGATCCTAAATTAGATATTGACCTTTTAGCCTGATACTGAAAAGACAGGTTATTTAGTGGTAGGAGGAAAATAAAAGAAATTTCCCAGTTTTAATCCCTCATTCCTCTTTATATGTGAATACACTCTCATACAAAGAAAGGGAAACCTTAACTCTGTAAACCAGCTGCAAAGTAATTAATCTTAGAGTGAAAAGAAGAAAACAGGTAGTACTGTAAGTAATTTACTCTAAGTACTTTAGACGTTTCCAAATCTGAAATACTAACTCAAAGAAAGAGAAGGCAGGTAGTCAGCCACTGTCTTTTGACTTCACTCCATTTCTCTGCTCTGGCGAAATTATCCTCACAATTGTGCATAAACCAGTCATAAATTATGAATACGTGGGATTTTTCATAAACCTTAGTGTGGGGATATTTGTTTGTAGTTAGCTTTAAGTCTTTGGTAAGATATCAAAATATAAGCACTAAACAATTGTGTTATATACAGCAAAGCTCCTGATTTCTGGAGTCAAATAGGTTTTATAATAATTAATGTAGCCTACTGTTCTAAGGCCTTGATTTGCCTTCTACATCACAGGTGCATATTGCCATTATCTTGTAACATCAGCTCCTTCTTTGCATGTGTTAGTGATTTGCATGTCCTCTAGATGATCAAACAGATACACCTGCATGCTGAAGGGCTGAATTAAATCATTAGTCAAGGCTTATGTTAGGCTACTTTGGGCCCCAGTGCAGCATTTGATTGTAAGCACCTTGTTCTTCAGTTACTTCTGCACTTCTGTTGCCTGAGTTATTCTGCCTCTTTCAGCAGAACACCTTCCCTTGAGGGAAGCAGTCATGTGCAGTTTGTTAGATCACCATCAAGTTGGACAGCAGTCATAAATACCTTTGGAGAAACGAGTATTTATTCAATAACGGAGGCTTGTTCAGGAAATGGACTTATCTTGGGGACTCAGGTTCATTTGCAAACTCTGATGTTCTCTTACATGCAGTCATAGCCTAGTGCTTCATTTGTGCAGAATAATATGTATTTAGTGCACAGGGACAGTGAATTCTGGTGAATCTTTGTAGTTAACACATCTACATTTCTAAAAGAGACTTCAGAGGAAATATGTAGAAGGAGGATGCCAACACAAGGATGCTTGCCTCTCTCTATTTTCTACAAAGGAAACAAAGACTAATGAAAGAAGACAGGCTAAATCTAGAATTATGTCTGTGACAGTATTATATATAACACCTGGGAACCCATTCAGATATTTGGAGTCCATAACAAGTGCTGATCCATAAAGTCACTCTTATTAGCTCTTTGTAGAAAAGAAAGCATTTATGTGTATTCCTTAATTTCCTATCAAGAAAACATTAATCCACTAACTCTAATCTTCACATACATTTATCTTTTTATTCATAC